TCAAGCTGCTGACACATATGGAGGAGCTGGTTCTGGGAAGGCCAGTGATCCTGCTCCCATCCCCCTCCCAATAGTGCATTTCATAGATCCAACTGCCAGACCTTGACTTGGAGATGTAGTGGCTTCAGACACCACAGCTTACAATGCTGGGAGACACAATCAGTGGCTTGTAGGTGGTGTGGTTTGGGACAGTGGTGCTTCCGGCAGATACAGGAATCAAGTTACAACCTGGCAACTCTTGGGGAGGCCATCATGAAGGCAAGATGTGTGGTTGGAAGCCTGGAACTCACATGGAACATTCCACAACCCCTCACAGACCTGACTAGTCAAACTATCATCCTGACTCTGGGCAACAGGAAGATATTCCAAACAAGTTCATGTGAAAACCTAGTATTGCTCTTCCAAAAGACAACAAACTGTCAGCAGGGCAATGGTGGCTCGTGTCCTTAATACCAGATCTCAGGAGGCACAATCAGGAGGTTCTCTGTGAATGGGAGGTCAGCCTGGAATAGAGAGCATGTCCCAGGACAGTGTCCAAAGAATAAAGAGAAACCCAGTCTAGGTACACAAAACAAAACAAAAACAACAAGAAAAAAACACAACAAAACAATAAAAAGAATGATAAAAAGCAAACAAACTGCCCAGTGGCTGTGGCTGTCACTTTTAGCCCCAGCGTAGTTTAGGCTCAGGCTGCCATATCTCTGTGAGATCTAGACAAGTCTGCATTTCAAATGGATTTCCCAGATAACCAGAGCTCATACCCATAAAAATATCTCTCAAAAAACATTTTAAAAATGAAGGAAACAAAGTAAAAGTAATATAAATGTAAACAGGATACAGTGCAATAATAAGTAATTGCATCGAATATTTGCATGTAAACCTCATTGGGCAGAAAAAGAGAGTGAATGACACACTGCAGCTTTCCACTGTCATTAAGGCCTGAGTGGAAGATTAAATTCTCATACCCTAATATTGAATCAGGAATCAGAGATAGGGCATGAAGCAGCTAGAATCCTTAAGCTCAAGGACAAGCCAGGTGATTTAATTCTCCACAGTAATGGCATTTATTTTCTCTTTTCACTTTGTTGACGTGTCTCATAAAATATGAACCACACATTAAGGCACACCTGAGAGACATTATTTGTCAATTACATGCTGTGAATCAAGTGGGGGGAAATACCACTACTATGAGGATGTAGAGGTGTGAAGACACAGGACTTTATTCCAGATCTTCATGCAAATAGACACACCTTTATCATGGCCACACCTTCTGCTGGATATATATGAGAATGTGGTGCGAGGGGACATTTGCTCATTCGCCGCTTGCCCTCGACTTGTTAGCAAGTCCATTCCTTCACTGGAATTAGAGTCTCTACGACTTTGGTGTTCCAGCATATACTGAAGATCAGCCAAGAGATACAGCCTTGCGGCTTGAGAAACTCCTGGATCTTTGACAAAAGACTGTAAGTCATTCGGAAAAAATCGAGGGGGGTGATTGAATGATTGTATTAGACACTCTGTGCTTAGAGGACCCTGACTAATACAGTCACCAAAGCTCTACCACATGAGGTTCCCCACATAGGACAAAACTCATGCTCAAATGCCCAAGATTGTAGGGGATTTTCTCACTCAAACTAGCCCTATATCATATTCCACATTATCTGGGGCTTTTTAAGCACTTGGTTTACAGTAGTTACTGTTAAGTGGAAAGGTGTAGAAAGCACGGCCATGAATCTCTCTGGGAAGCAACTCACTGGTGGATAGAAACCTCTATGAAAAGTCACCAGCCACCTAACCGAGCTCTAAAAGGAACAAAATATCCCTAGCCACATGGATTGTAAGTCTCTGGGATATACGAGTGCACATAAACCCTTCCTCCCTAGAGGTGGTTATAAACTTGGACTAGATCACAGTCACAATGGAACAGTCATGGCACTGTTATGGTATGGAAGCTGAGATAACCAAACAAAGCAACAACAAAAAAAAGAAAACCACAGTCAAATCGGACAAATCCATGTCTTGTTGGTGCTAATGAAATTTCAAGAAGGCATTATGAATAACGATACACCCAAATCCATTGTGGGGCTTTTTTTCCCCGAGACAAAGTTTCCCTGTATTACTTTGGAGTCTCCTGGAACAGGCTCTACAGAACAAGATGGCTTTGTAGTTACTGAGATCTGCCTGCCTCTGCCTCCCATGTATGGGTGTGAAAGGCATATGCCACCATTTCCCAGAAAATGTCAGTCCAGTTTTCCACTGTCACTTAAGCCTGAGTGGAAGATTAATTCATCATAACTTAAAATTGAATCAGGAATCAGAGTATGGGAATGAAACAGGCCAGATTCCTTAATCTCAAGGACAAGCCAGGTGATGAACTTCTGCCAATGTAATAGCAATTGTTTTTGGTTTTTCGAGACAGGGTTTCTCTGTTGCTTTGGAGGCTGTCCTGGAACTCGCTTGGTAGTCCAGGCTGGTCTCAAACTTACAGAGATCTGCCTGCCTCTGCCTCCCGAGTGATGGGATTAAAGGCGTGAGCCACCAACTCCTGGCTGTAATAGCAATTTTTAGTTGTCATCTTGACTACATCTCTAATGAGATACAAGCCAATCAATAAGGGCACACCTGAGAGAGATTAATTTTGAATGACTTGCTGTGGATCAAGAAGAGGGAAATAAGCCTTCTATGAGGATGTAGAGATGTGGACACACACACACCTTTAATCCAGATCTTCTTGCAAATAGACACACCTTTATCCTGGCCACACCTTCGGCTGGATGGCTATATAAGAAGCTGGAATAATTTGGCTTTGGCTCATTTGCCACTTGGCCATGCATTGTTAGCAAGTCCATTCCTTCACTGTGATTAGAGTCTATGACTTTGGTGTTCCAGCATATACTGAAGATCAGCCAAGAGATCCAGCCTGGTGGACTGAGAAACTCCTGAATTTTTGAAAACAAACTGTAAGTCATTCCAATAAATTCAAGAAAGGGAGGTGATTGAATTAGTGTTTGAGATACTCTTTGCTTAGAAAACCCTGACTAATACAGTCACCAAAGCTTGACCACATGAGGTTCCCCATGTAGGACAAAATTCATGCTCAAAGGCCTATGATTTTAGGGGAATTTCTAATTCAAACTGGCCCAGTGGGTTATTTCACATTATCTCGTGCATTGGAAAAACTTGGTTTCAACTAGTTACTCTTGCCTGGAAAGGTGTAGAAAGCATGGACATGAAAGTCTCTAGGAAGTAAGTCTCTAGTGGACAGAGAACTTCTTTGCAATATCACCAGCCACCTAACAAGCCAGCTCTAAAAGGAACACAGTGTCCCCAGCCACATGGATTGTGATTCTGTTGGATATATGAGTGCACAAAAACCCTTCCTCCCTAGGGTTGATTCTAAACTTGGACTTGATCACAGTCACAATGAAATGGTCAGGGCATTGTTAAGGTATGGAAGCTGAGGTAACAAAAGAAAGCAACAACAACAACAACAACAACAAAAAAGGTCAATTCTTACAAATCCCTGATTGGTTGGTGCTTGTGAGATTTCAATGAGATATTATCAATAAAGTTACATATTAGTCCATTGTGGCGGTTCCTTTGTGATTTTTTGAGACAGGCTTTCTCTGTATTGCTTCAGAGCCTTCCTTGAGCTGGCTCTGTAGAGCAGGCTGCCTTCGAACTCAGTGAGACCTGCCTGCCTCTGCCGCCCCATTGCCAGGATTAAAGGCTTGTGGCACCATCTCACAACTTAGATTAGTCCGTTTGTACAAGCTCGCAGCTGAGCCTTGTCCTTAAACATGGCAGTCACTCTTCCATGGCTATACAGCAAGTTACAATGAGCCTGATAGTGATGGGCATCTCTAATCCACTGGACCTCACCATAGTGAAGTTGCTTTTCCTTCCTGGGATTTTCGTTTGGTGTTTCCCATTCATATATACAATATTTGGTGTGGACAAGGGTGAGTTTTGGCCTGTGTATTCCCTCTCTTAGTTAATTATTATATAATTTTCAGTTTTAAATATGACATCTCTTATTTCCATTTAGATTCAGATTTTTCTCTATTCAAACTTATCTAAGAATTTTTTACAGATGTCCAGTTTAATTATAGCACATCCATGCCTGCCTTACTGTAATTTGATCATATTCTCCTCACTGTATCACTCCTTGCTGACTGGCTTGATCATTGTGTTTTTGTACATAGCCCAGAACCAAAATTCCAAGTAGAACACCACTCACATTGGGCTTGGTCTTCCCTAATTGATTACCGATTAAGCAAATGCCCAAGAGCTGTATGTCATGCCAGAATTTCATCAACTGAAATCCCTTATTCTCTGGTGACTCTAGCTTGTGTCAGGTAGGCCCACAAATTCCTCCAGGGCATGTTTGAATCTTTTCCAAAGTTTTGAGAGGTTCGGGGAATCCAACAAGATTCCCTCCTGCCTTTAATCCCAACAGGTCAGGGCCCTAAATAGGCTGTAACCATTTTGTTGCCAGCCACACTTGTTGCTTATAACTCATGATTTAGGTGATTCTTTCCTCTGCTTTCAATAGGCACACTTGTCTAGGAATTGCTCCCATACTTTCAAATTTCCCATGGTTTCAAAGTTGAAACCTCGAGAGAAGAACATCTGGTTTTTCATTCAGGCAGCACTACATCTTGATTTTTTTATTGTTCAATTTATATGTTCTGTCTCTTGATCAGTTTGGACCAGGTTATTTTCATTTTGATACATAGTTGGGAGTGAACTCATCATTGTCTTTCACCTCAGCGTTTTCCTCTGCATGTCCAGAGCAGCGAATCCAGCTTTGATCTTCACACTCACTCCACATCTTGAGCTCTAAGTTTGGGTTGTTTTGGGTTGATTCAGCTATCTCACATTTCATGGGAGAGAATTCTAAACACTGAATTCCCATGCTAACACTGCTTTTCTTTTGTTTCTAGCATTGTTTCCATAGGAACAGCTTCAAGTTAAAGTGGTTGAAACAGTCAAACATCATGTCCATTGCATTGGAACAGGACATTCTTGAACAGGATTTCAGAATCTTAAAATCTATAGGTTCTGGTACATATGGGGAGGTGAAGCTTGCCTGCCACCTTCCTACACATACAGAAGTTGCTGTCAAGGTCCTTAAGAAAAAGGACAAATCTCTGGCTCACACCCACTCAGAAGTAGAGATCCTTCAATCTTTGGAACACAGAAATATCGTTCGATTTTTTCATGTCATTTACACACTGAAAAAGACTTATGTGGTCATGGAGTATGTTGCAGGAAAGGATTTGGAGATATTCCTCAGGGATGTAGACCATCTACAGGAGGAGGAAGCTAGACCAATATTCCAACAGGTCGCGTCAGCAGTGCACTATCTCCACCAGAGACGAATCGCACATCGGGATATTAAATTGGAGAATATCCTCATTGACAATGCTGGAAACATCAAGCTTTGTGACTTTGGATTGGCAGCTCAGCTAGCAGAAGGGCAGATGTTGGAGGATGTCTGTGGCACCTTGCTCTATTTGCCTCCAGAGGTTTTGGCAGGAAAACCCTACGATGGACTGGCAGTCGACATGTGGGGCATGGGAATTCTCCTTTATGTACTGGTCACAGGATGTTTTCCATATGAAGAAACCAGAGATGATGCTTTGTACAGGCTCATCACCAACACACAGTTAGCCATTCCCCAGCACCTGTCAAAACCATGTCAGGTCATCCTTGCACAATTACTCTGCGTCCCCACCAGCCATAGGATAACAATCAGTGAGGTCCGGGAAAGAGAATGGCTGAGGAGCATTGAAGAGCATGTGGAACCTCTAAGTAAAGGACTCCTTCCCAGGATCATGGACACTATGAATGCTATTGGCTATACCTGTGAAGAGATTATGTCATCCCTAACACACGGGCAGCCACATAATAAAGTGGCAGCAGCTTTCAATATTCTGAAACATAAACTGAGCCGTGAGGACAGTCATCATGGAAAAGAGAAGCCCTCTTTAACCAGCAGCCCTGTTTGTGCCCTTCCCCCACTTCTCCCGTTGAAGAGGAAAGCCAGTGAGGCAGCCTTTCTGACAATCACAGAAACTGGGGACAGTCCCGTTCAGAAGGAAGGTGTGCCAGGAAAACGAAAGAGATGCTGAATCCATATCACGGTGAACAAATTGGACTGTCCGTGACTGACGCCCAGATAAGATGAAATAATCCGACACGGAAGCGTCGGGATGCATAATGGCATCAACAGCGCTGCTGGGGACATTGCAGTCAACATGAATTCTCCGGACTGACCCACAGGGATCTCTCCTCACGTGTCAGTCCTGGAGGGAACACACTTCAGGTTTCTGAACATGGACTTCTCCTCAGAGCACCCATCCATGGGGCCAACATGCCCAATCACCAGACCCAGGTTGGAACCATAATATCTTGATCCAGGCATTTCAGGGCATGGAAGCTGGTGAGGGAGAGAATTCCCCATGCACTCAGGGCACTGTGAGGTTCTCCTGAAACCGCTCCTAGGTGAGACCAGGATCCTCACGAGTGTTACAAAGACAGCAGGGGACTGCTGACATTATGAGACTCACGTGCTTTGGCCCTCAAATACTCTCCTGCTTTGTATTGTATTTTGATTATGTTATCTCAATAAATATCTCATTGGAAAATACAAATGTACCCTCTCAGAGGGCATCTGCATTGTCTATCTCCCCTACAGTCAATCCACCCACAAGGACACACATACCTATGCATGAACACAACAACTTGGCCTCAGGTCTTGCTTGGGTTATGAACATAAAGTCCCAGGCATCTCAGGACTTGTGTTCATTACCTGCTCAGCACAATATTATCTACATTCAAAGCCACACAGTCACATGTAGGTCTATGGGTCAGAACTTGTTAAGTATTCCCTTCCCTTCTGTCAAAGCAACGCACCAATCTTGTGTCTCCTCTCCTCTCTCACTTTCTGTAGTCTCTGAGTGGTTAGTCAGGCTGAACAACTCAGGTGGAAACAGGGTACACATGCAGTCTTTTGAGTTCATCTGACCCACAACTACTCCATCTTCAAGCTGCTGACACATATGGAGGAGCTGGTTCTGGGAAGGCCAGTGATCCTGCTCCCATCCCCCTCCCAATAGTGCATTTCATAGATCCAACTGCCAGACCTTGACTTGGAGATGTAGTGGCTTCAGACACCACAGCTTACAATGCTGGGAGACACAATCAGTGGCTTGTAGGTGGTGTGGTTTGGGACAGTGGTGCTTCCGGCAGATACAGGAATCAAGTTACAACCTGGCAACTCTTGGGGAGGCCATCATGAAGGCAAGATGTGTGGTTGGAAGCCTGGAACTCACATGGAACATTCCACAACCCCTCACAGACCTGACTAGTCAAAATATCATCCTGACTCTGGGCAACAGGAAGATATTCCAAACAAGTTCCTGTGAAAACCTAGTATTTCTGTGCCAAAAGACAACAAACTGTCAGCAGGGCAAAGGTGGCTCGTGTCTTTAACACCAGAAATCAGGAGGCACAATCAGGAGGTGCTCTGTGAATTGGAGGGCTTCCTGGGATAGAGAGCATGTCCCAGGACAGTGTCCAAAGAATACAGAGAAACCCAGTCTAGAAACATGAAACAAAACAAAAACAACAAGAAAAAAACACAACAAAACAATAAAAAGAAAGATAAAACATAAACAAACTGTCCAGTGGTTGTGGCTGTCACTTTTAACCCCAGCGTAGTTTAGGCTCAGGCTGCCATATCTCTGTCAGATCTAGACAAGTCTGCATTTCAAATGGATTTCCCAGAGCTCATACCCATAAATATATCTCTCAAAAAACTTTTTAAAACTGAAGGAAACAAAACAAAAGTAATACAAATGTAAACAGGATACAGTGTAATAATAAGTAATTGCATCGAATATTTGCATGTAAATCTCATTGGGCAGAATAGGACACACACTGCAGCTTTCCACTGTCATTAAGGCCTGAGTGGAAGATTAAATTCTCATACCCTAATATTGAATCAGGAATCAGAGATAGGGCATGAAGCAGCTAGAATCCTTAAGCTCAAGGACAAGCCAGGTGATTTAATTCTCCACAGTAATGGCATTTATTTTCTCTTTTCACTTTGTTGACGTGTCTCATAAAATATGAACCACACACTAAGGCACACCTGAGAGACATTATTTGTAAATTACATGCTGTGAATCAAGTGGAGGGAAATACCACTCCTATGAGGATGTAGAGGTGTGAAGACACAGGACTTTATTCCAGATCTTCACGCAAATAGACACACCTTTATCATGGCCACACCTTCTGCTAGATATATATAAGAATGTGGTGTGAGGGGACATTTGCTCATATACCGATTCCTTTCCCCTTGTTAGCAAGTGCATTCCTTCACTGGAATTAGAGTCTACGACTTTGGTGTTCCAGCATATACTGAAAATCAGCCAAGAGATACAGCCTTGCGACTTGACAAACTCCTCGATCTTTGACAAAAGACTGTAAGTCATTCGGAAAAAATCGAGGGGGGGTGATTGAATGATTGTATTAGACACTCTGTGCTTAGAGGACCCTGACTAATACAGTCACCAAAGCTCTACCACATGAGGTTCCCCACATAGGACAAAACTCATGCTCAAATGCCCAAGATTACAGGGGATTTTCTCACTCAAACTAGCCCTATATCATTGTTCACGTTATCTGGCGCTTTTTAAGCACTTGGTTTAAAGTAGTTACTGTTAATTGGAAAGGTGTAGAAAGCATGGTCATGAAACTCTCTAGGAAGCAAATCACTGGTGGATAGAAACCTCTATGAAATGTCACCAGTCACCTAACCAAGCTCTAAAAGGAACACGATATCCCTAGCCACATGGATTGTAAGTCTGTGAGATATACAAGTGCACATAAACCCATCCTCCCAAGTGGTGATTATAAACTTGGACTAGATCACAGTCACAATGGAACAGTCATGGCACTGTTATGGTATGGAGCTGAGATATCCAAACAAAGCAACAATAAAAAACCACAGTCAATTCTGACAAATCCATGTCTTGTTGGTGCTAGTGAAATTTCAAGAAGGCATTATGAATAACGATACACCCAAATCCATTGTGGAGCTTTTTTTTCCCGAGACAAAGTTTCTCTGCATTACTTTAGAGTCTCCTGGAACAGGCTGTATAGACCACGATGTCTTTGTCGTTACTGAGATCTGCCTGCCTCTGCCTCCCATGTATGGGTATGAAAGGCATATGCCACCATTTCCCAGATTATATCAGTCCAGTTTTCCACTGTCATTTAAGCCTGAGTGGAAGATTGTTTCATCATAACTTAAAATTGAATCAGGAATCAGAGTGTGGGAATGAAACAGGCCAGATTCCTTAATCTCAAGGACAAGCCAGGTGATGAACTTCTGCCAATGTAATAGCAATTTTTAGTGGTCATCTTGCCTACATCTCTAATGAGATACAAGCCAATCAATAAGGGCACACCTGAGAGAGATTAATTGGGAATGACTTGCTGTGGATCAAGAAGAGGGAAATAATCCTTCTATGAGGATGTAGAGATGTGGACACACACACCTTATATCCAGATCTTCTTGCAAATAGAAACACATTTATCATGGCCACACCTTTGACTAGATGACTATATAAGATCCTATCAGCCCTTTCTAGCCCCAAACCGCAGTGAGTCCTGCTTCAGGTGAGATTGGGTCTCCGGCGGGGACCGCCCACCCAACACCCATCCCCTTGATCTTCTGGGCCGCTCCTGGCATCCAGAAGACTCGACCACACAGGAAAGACATCAGCCCTTTCAAGACCCCAACCCCAGCGAGTCCAGCTTCAGGTGAGATTGGGTCTCCAGCAGGACCCCCTGTTCAACACCCATCCCCTTGATCTTCCGGGGCTGCTCCAGGCATCCAGAAGACCCGCCCACACAGGAAAGACATCAGCCCTTTCAAGCCCCAAACCCCAGCCAGTCCAGCTTCAGGTGAGATAGGGTCTCAGGCGGGACCCCCCTCCAACCCCCATCCCCTTGATCTTCCGGGGATGCTCCTGGCATCCAGAAGACCCGCCCACACAGGAAAGACATCAGCCCTTCCAAGACCCCAACCCCAGCTAGTCCAGCTTCACGAAAGACATCAGCCCTTCCAGGCCCCAAACTCCGTGTCAGCATCCCCAGCTTCAGCTGCAGGAAGGAAGGAGACCAGAGGACACGGAAAGACCCCACCAGCACCCACTGGAATAAGAGATGGGAAGAAGATGGAATGAGAGCTCACTCAGCAATAGAAACACCAACATGACCCCACCAGAATCTAGGGATCCAACACCAGCAAGACCCGAAAAGCACTACATAGACGAAGAAGATGAGACAGACCTTAAAAATTATTTCATGAAGATGATGGAGACCCTCAAAGAAGAAACGAGGAAATCCCTTAAAGAAATAGAAGAAAAAACAAAAAAATCCATGAAATGGGGGAAAAATTCAAGAAATAAACAAATTTCTCAAAGAATCTAAAGAGCACCAAGAAAAAACAACCAAAAAAAAATTAAAGAAACAACTCAAGCAGTTGAAGGATTGAAAGCTGAAATAGAAATGATAAAGAAAACACAGAATGAAGGGATGCTGGAAATAGAAAAGCTGGGTAAAGGATCAGGAACTACAGATGCAAGTATCACCAATAGAATACAAGAGATAGAAGAGAGAATCTCAGGTGTTGAAGACTCATTAGAGGATATAGAGTCGTCAACCAAAGAAAATCTCAAAACCAACAAATCCTTAACACAAAACATCCAGGAAATATGGGACACCATGAAAAGACCAAACCTAAGAATAATAGGTATAGAAGAAGGAGAAGAAATCCAGCTCAAAGGGGCAGAAGGCATATTCAACAAAATCATAGAAGAAAACTTTCCCAACCTTAAGAAAGACATGCCAATGAAGGTACAAGAAGCCTACAGAACACCAAATAGAGTGGACCACAAAAAAAAAAATCCCCTCGCCACATAATAATCAAGACCCCAAACATACAGAATAAAGAAAGAATATTAAGAGCAGCTAAGGAAAAAGGTCAAGTAACATATAAAGGCAAACCTATCAGAATTACACCTGATTTCTCCATGGAAACGCTGAAAGCCAGAAGGTC